GGGACACCCACACGCCGTGCAGGGGCTCGGTGTGCGTCTTGCGTCTCCTGTAGAGGAACAGAGGAGCTCAGGAGCTCCTGTCTCGTACTGGCTACCCCAAACCAGTCCCAGTATCCTGTTGTGGCCTTCCAGCAGCAGGTAGACCAGCGCGTGTTGCGTTTTGGGGCACCCACTTGGGCCATGGAGCCCTTTTTGGGCTTCCTGCCTCACCAGCCCGTTGCAGGCAGCCGGGGTGCTCTGCGGGCGAGCAAGAAGCTCTTGCTGCACGGGAAGCAGCTTTATTCCCGAGCGCCCTTACCGTCCGTCGGCAGAGAGGACGTTGGGTGCGATTCACCCAGGCAGGGAAAAACCCTCAGGTTCATCCCCGGCGGATGTCCCTTTTCAGCCGGGCGCTCGCTGCTCCAGGAGCGTCGGAGCTGCTGGGGCAACACCTGGGCAAAGCTGACCCGATTAACTGGAATTAAGCCCTTTAATTTCCGCAACCAACATGGAAAAGGCGAGAGCCAGCTCACCGCCCTCATCACGCCCCGGCTCCTTCCTAAATTCCCTGAGGACAGCACCTCGTTAGCAAAAAAACCCTCCTGATTAGCACTAGATTGTCCCACCGATGGCCTGGAGGCAATTACTGCCCCAGGGCCCGGCGTGGGGGCCCTCGTGGAGAACCTTCTGCGGCACAGTAACTTTCTCTACAGTTTGAGCCTTGTCTCCAGGATGTCCTTGTAGATGTTGTGACTCAAGGGCACGTAGGATTTCTTTGTCTCGTCCAAGAAGAAGAGCGGGTCCTTGATGACGTTGGGGTCAAACCCTTCTTTGACGAGGTTGCCTTTGCGCTGCTTGAAGGTCCCCGTGATCTCCAGGACATCCTGTGGGGACCGACACCGTTACCGGCACAGGGTGATCAACACTGTTACTGGTAGAGTGGGATTAGCGCTGTTATCAGCCTGGATGTTGGCATGGTGGAATGATGCCGTTATCAACAGAGGGTGACTGATGCTGTCATCAGCACAGCAGGACCGATACCATTATCGATAGGGGTGTTGCGGAATAACCGGAATACAATGTAGTGGTTTATCCCACCAGGGGTGATTGACACCATTACCAACATGGCAGGACCAACGCTGGTATCAACACGGAGTGATCAACACCGTTACTGACGCCGTTACCAGGATGGCAGGACCGATGCTGTTATTGGCACAGGCGACTGACACCGCTATTGACAACGATGTCATTAGCACGGTGGGACCGATGCCGATACGGGCTCAAGATGACGAAGAATGGAGTGGGGAGAGGGCTCAAAACTCTTGTCTTGTGAGATCCCGCCCCCAACAGCGTCATCGCACGGACCGAAGCCGGGGCCCCTCACCTGGTCCACCGCCCGGCCGAAGCCGGGGCCCCCCACCCGGAGCCGCACGAAGCGGGGGGTGGCGTAGCTCGGCAGACACTCCTTGGCGTGCACGTAGAGGCTCTCGCCCTCAAAGCTCATCCCGGGCTTGAGGCGGATGGCCGCCATGCCGCACTTCCCCTCGCACCCTGGAAGCCACGACCTTCGTCGGGGACTGGCCGGCAACCAGGTCTCCCCGTTAAAAATGAGGTGGTTTCTTGGCACGGACCTTTTGTGCTCCAGCTTACCTTGGGGGCTGTTCCCAGTGGGCTCTAGGGCCACTACGGGGGCACGGTACGTGCCCAAAACGATACTGGATGCTTATTTGGGTGACCAAGTCCCGTTTTAGTTTTCTTGGTGGCTGCTCGGACCATTATGGGGGCATGGTGTGTGCCCAAAATAACATGGCACACTTATTTGTGGTGACTGAGTCCTCCTTTAGCCTTCTTGGTGGCCTCTTAGGTCCTTACGGGGCACATTGTGCACCCAAAACAATGCTGGGTGCATATTTTGGGTGACCAAGTCCTGTTTTAGCCTTCTTGGTGGCTGCTTGGACTATCACAGGGATGAGTTCTGTGCCTGAAGCGATGCAGGATGCTTATTTGGCACATCCAAGTCCCACTTTAGCCTTCTTGGTAGCCACCTGGACTCTTATGGGGGCACATCAAATGACCGGAATGATGCTGGACACTTATTTTGGATAACTGAGCCCCATTTTAGCCTTCTTGGTGGCCACTTAGACCATTATGGGAGTGTGTCGTGTTTCCATTTGGCCAGACACTTATTTTGGACAACCGATTTCCACTCGTCTTCTCACTGCCCGATACTCACCTGGCACAGACACCCCGTAGACGTTGACCTCCTGGATGAAGTTCACAATGGCTAGTGCCGCCTCTACCTCCGTGGTTGCCACATTCTCGCCTTTCCAGCTAGGGAGAGAAGGCAGGAAGCTGTGAGGGGGGGGATTTGGGGCTGAGATCACATTCCTCCGCTCTCGTCGCCGCCTCTATCCCTCTTCGGCACATTGGGGTGCTCATGTCTGCTCAGTGGAGGCGCCCACTTTTGCATTTTCTGCCCCTGGCCCAGCACCCATGCCACTGGCTGAGACAGCGACACGAGAGTAGGGAGAGAGTTACCGGAAAGTGTCTCCCACCCGGTCCTGGAAGTAGAGGAATTTTTCGTGGTCCATCATGAGGAGGTCACCGCTGTTGAAGAAAGCATCGTCTTTCACCAAGACGTTCCTCAAGATCTTCTTCTCCGTCTTCTCAGGATCTCCAGCATAGCCATGGAAAGGGGTCGTCTTGGTGATTTTGATGACCAACAGCCCGGCCTCGCCTTTGGGGAGGGAAAGGAGGATTGCAGGCCACTTGGCAACCCCAGCGGCTCCGGGGAACGTCACCTCCAGGCCCCAGGTGGTGCCCGCCATTTCTCTGAGGGTCTGGAGAAGCAATCAGCAGCAGCGCGCTGCCTGCCGCAGTGGTTTTAGAGCAGTGATGCGGAGCATCAGCACCAAGAGGTGGCTTTGATGGCATCTCAACCCTGAAAAAAAGGCCCTCACGAAGCTCATCCCTTCTTACCAGGGCGGACCCGGATGCAGAAACCTCGCTCGTCGCGTATGGGTTCGTCCCGCTCCACATCATACCTGATCAGCTCAAAGGAAGCAAGTATCTGCGGGGCAGAGGAGGGAGAAATCAGTGGCGGAAGAGAAATGTGGGATAAATAAGAGTGAGGGGGCAGGCACCACACTTCCAACGCGAGTAAAAGATGTTTTTAAACAGAGTCCAGTCCTCCGTTACCCGCAAATTAAAGCCTATGGATTATCCTCTTCAATCACCAAACTCCCAACGTCCTTGGCAGAGGCTTGTTTTCTCCAGCTCCTTTCCCTCCAAGCTAATCACCTTGGGCTCCCTTTATATCCAAATGAGATTTAATTAAGCATATTCAACGGTTCAGCCAAGTTCATCCTCCATATTTTCCTATAGTGGAGGACCAAGAGCCACAACAATGGCAGGTTGCAGGTAAAGGGCAGAAAAACACAACCCACACAGTTCTGTGGGTGTTTGTTGAGGCAGGATGGAGATGGCATGGTGGGGGCACCCCAAAAATGGTCTTAAAGGAGCAATGGAGTCAATGCCAGTGGGGCAGCATCGGCCACCCCAATGGAGGGGGATCCTTGAGGATGCACCACCTCTATGGGGGGATCTCTCGCGTCAACCTTACCTTACGGACGTCATTGGCTCCCCCAAGGAAATCACTGCTCACTCACCTTGAGGAACGTGTTGGCCCTTCCCACGGCGCCGATCTTCCCCGTGTAGTTGATGAAGCCGGCGTTGCCCTCGGTGGCCCCGTAAAACTCCCGGATGGTGATGGGCCCGAAGCGCTGGAGGAACTCCTTCCACACGTCCGCCCGCATGCCGTTGCCCACCGCCATGCGCACGCTGTGGTCCCGCTCGCCAGGGCGCTGCGGGGCACCGAAGGGACGGGTCGTCTCAGCTTCACGCCCCGGCAGGATGGATTATTCCCCTCCCTTCTGCTGTCCCACAGCCTGGGTTGTTACCTTGGGCGTGTTGCAGAGGTAGCGCATGAGCTCGCCCACATACTGGATGACGGTGACGTTGTAGCGGCGGCAGTCATCCCAGAACTGGGAGGCGGAGAACTTGACCCGCAGGACGCAGGTGGCTCCTGCAGGGACACGGTGGGGTGATGGGGACCGTGCACCTTCCCCACCTCCCTTCTCCTTCCTGTGCCAGTGAAACCCTCTCCGAGCTCCCCATCCACTGCCACATCGATTCAAAGAAGGGGCAATAACCAAAATTAGCTTTATCCGTCCATCCCCGCATCTGTCTACACAGCTCCCCCTCCCTTTTTCTCTCTCTTTTTCACCCTTTCTCATTCTTCTCCATCCTGACACATTTCTCCATAAACATTCATCCAGGCTCTACAAAGATCGATCCACCCACCCGTCCCCATGCTTGCCATCCATCAACACCCTTCGTCTTTTCTCCTTCTTTCTGTTCTCCATCAGTCCCCCAAAACATCTGTCCATCCATGCATCCCCCCTTACCTATATTCCTCTCTCCTTTTCTCTCATTTCTTTTCCTTCTTCCCCGTCCTTAAACATTTCTCCATCCGTCCATCCTCACACCCATCTACCTATACTGATACTTTTCTTGCTTCCATCTTTACATATTTCTCCATCCATCCATCTCCATGCGCCTCTGCCTCCCCACTCACCCATTTGTTCATTTAGATACCTCTTTCCTTTTCTCTCCAAAGCTCCTTCCCTTCTTTCTCTTTTCCTCTGTCCTGACGTTTCTCCATCCATACCTCTGCCTCCTTAAACATGTCTACCCGTTCTTCCCATGCATAGCCATTACCCTTTTCTCTCCAAGTCTGTTCCCTTCTTTTTCTTTCCTCCCCTATCCTCGTGCATTTTTCCATCCATCCATCCATCTCCATGAATATCTATTCATCCTCACGCCTACCCCTTACCTGGGTAGCTACTTCTTTTCTCTCCAAGCCTCCTCTTTCCTTTTTCTCCTCCCTCCTGACACATTTCTCTATCCGTCCATCTCCATAAACATCCATCCATCCTCACACTTCCCCGTTATCTGTATTTACTCCTCCCTTTTTTCTCTTTTTTCTTCCTCCATCTATCCATATCCATGGATGTCTGCCCATCTATCCACTTATCCCCTGCACTTACCCAGTATCTGTACAGACACCCCTCTCCTTTTCTGTCCAAGTCTTTCCATGCCCTCCTTTCCTTTTCCGTCTTCACACATTTTTCTGTCCACCTCATAAAGCATCCATCCATCCAGCTCCATAAAACATCCATCCATTCATCCTTCCTTCTCCATAAAACATCCCTCCACCCACCCATCCATCTGCACACTTACCCATATAGATATCTTTCCTTTTCTCTTTTTCTTTTCTCCTCCATCCCCCCATTTTTGTCATCTATCTCCATAAAACATCCATCCATCCCCACATTACCCCTCTATCCATACAGACACCTCTCACCTTTTCTCTCCTTTCTCTTCCCTCCTCCCTTCCTACACGTTCCTCCCTCTGTCTATCCTTGGGTCCCTTCCCTGCACTGGTGAGGCCCTGTCGGGTGCGCGGTACATACCGACCTCCAAGCACCCTCCCAGCCCGATGAGCAGCGCGGCCGAGTGGTACAGCGGCAGCACCGTGTACATGACGTCCTCAGCCCGGAGGCCGCACAGCCGGGGCAGGTTGGCTATCAGCATCAGCTTCTTCTCCGTTATCACCGCTGCTTTGGGCAACCCTGAGGCAAAAAAAAAAAGGGGAGGCAGGGATTGGTGGGAAAACCCTTACTGAAGGTGTCCATGTGGGTCATGAGGCCTCAGGGATGCGGGATGGGATGTGAGGGTGAACTCCTTCCCTAGTGGGGTGTCCCACATGGGAGGGGGTGAGTACGTGGTTGGTCTCTGTCCTTGGAGGTCTTCAGGCCTTACTGAGATTATGCCATGAGGAATCTGGTCCAAACGGACCTGCGTTGGTCAGAGTCAGACCTGTTTTGGTCAGGGTTGGTCCGGGGAGGTCTTGTCTCCAGTGGGGCAAGGCCAGGGACAGACCAAGGGAGATGGTCGGTCTCTGTCTTTGTTGGTCCTCAGACCATGCTGGGAGAATCCCATGAGGAACCTGGTCCAGATGGTCCTGGTTGGGACAGAACCAGGGAGAGACCCAGGGACATGGTGGGTCTCCATCCTTGAGGATGCCCAACCTTCACGTGGACATGGCCATGAGGAACCTCGTCCAGATGGGCCTGCAATGGCCAGGGTTGGATCTGGAAGCCCCTAGATGTCCCATCCCCCCTGCCCCAGTAGGAACAGAGCTGGGAAGACGCCCATGGTGGTGGTGATCTCCTCCTAGGAAGTTTTTAACCCTCATATGGATGTGGCGAAGAGGCCCTGTGACGGTCATGGTGCTGAGAGTCCGCAAGGCCCTTCTAACCTCCCCAACCATCTTGTCAACCCTTCTGGCTTGCTCAATGAAGGGGGCTCAACCCCCACCAGGAGATCTGCCAGGCCCTACAACACCCAAATCCTCCCAGGTGCTGTTTCCCAGGGAGGAACCATCCTTCCCCAAACTGAGGAGGAGGGTGGTCATGGTGGGGGCACCTTGAATTCCTCATCTGGGGTTTTGGGATCCCACCTGTGGTGCCGGAGGTGAAGATGTAGATGGCCTTGGAGTTAGGCGTGACGTCAGCACGGTGGTGGGCCGGCAGCGGGTCGTCGGAGGCTGCCTCGATGCTGGGCCCCAGGGCCTCGACGCCCGGCGTTGGCGATTTGTCACTCAGGTAGAAGACACGAATGCCGTCCTGCCGCAGGGCTGGCAGCACCTCTTCAATGGCGACCTGGAGATCTGCAGGAGCCGGCAGCGAGGGGGTGGTTGGGGCCCCCAGGGGGACACCT